GCAACCGACGTTTCCCTTCAGGAAAATGATAATTACTGTAAGAGGAAACCAATCAGGTTTTTTTCTGGAATAGCAAATTTAATTAAATGTACAACGGGCTTTTTATCACCATTAAGTCAGGGCAGCCCAGCAGCAACTGCCCCAGGCAGCTCCCTGCGAGCACCGGTCGGGCAGAGGCACAGCGCGCTCCACCGGAGCTCAGGCCGACCCCTGCTGCAGACCGTGAGGAGCAGCTCCTCGGCATCACTGTAAGCCAGCTTTTTTCAAGTCCTCTGGCAGAATCCGGCCTTTCTTCCGGGCCCTGGCTTTCTTCTTCTCTATCCTATCCTTCTTCTTCTTTTGAATGTTCCTGCGACGCTTCTCCTGCCGCTGCTGCATCTTCTCCGCCACCCTTTCCGTCCGTGCTTCCCATTGCCTTTTGCGTTGTGCTTTACGCTTCTCCTTACGCTTCAGAGCTTCTTTCAGACGCTCCTCGTTGTCACGAATCTTCACACCTTCTGCCTTATAGAGAGCGTTTGTCCACTTCATCTTGTTCTCTACCTCCTGAGCTTTCTTCTGGTCCTTTTCCTTGAGTTCCTCTAGCTTGTTCTTCCTCATCTCCAGCCTGCTCAGCAGCTGCTTGTAGTTTTTGCCCGTCAGAGGAGTGATATTGCCTTTCACCGCTTTCCTCTTCTCTTTCTTCTTCTGGATCTTGCTCAACTCATTTTCAGCATGGACTTCGACTCTGTTAAAGACAATCTCAGCTGTGCTCTCCTCTTTTTTGCTTTCTGGCTCTACTGGTACCTCCTCAGCTTCTTTCTTCTCCATTTTTGCCTTCATCTTCAACTCCTTTCTCCGGCGCTTCTTTCTCTCTCTCTCATACTTCCTTCGCTGCCTCTTCTCCAGGACTGCAGGGGGCAATTCTTTGGCATCAGCCTAAGAAGAAGCATGAATATTAACAAGAAGCCTTAAAGGAATAAAGTAGAAATAAAAGTTGGATATCCTCAAATTGAGATTTCAATCTTCTCCTAAGAAATGCATTAGTGGTGACAAGTAGCTGCGGACTCAGCTTTCAGAGACAGCAAACACAATAAAATGATCTTAAACGCTCTCTTAACACCCCACAGATATGTTTCCTTTCAGCACTTTTTCTTAAATATCACCAGAGGCACGCTCCCCCTCCAAGCCAGGGTTTTTCCAGACCACAGAAAATGCACAGGTCTCCCAACAACACCTACAAACATTTCCTTAGGAGACAGAACTAGCCCAAACCGTCAGCCTCGTAAGATCATAATCTTGTCCCCAAGAGGCTAGAGAGAATTTATATTGCCCAAACACACATAGAGATAGATATTAAGAGTTCTCATACTTGGCCAGAAGCTTTTTTAATCTTCTCATGTAGTCTCTGACGCAGGAGATTCATTGCCGCAAAAGAAGGGGAACCCAGTTCACTTTTGCTCCCTAAAAATGAAAGGAAGAAAATAAAAATACTTTAAAAACAGCAGTAGCTCAACAGAAGAACTCTCTATGGCTACAGAAAAGCTCTGATAACTCTTTGGATGTTGTGAATAGAATGGAAAATCTAAATAGACCAAGATTTTTCCATTGCACTGGTTTCTTTTCAACCCACATTATCTTTCAGCACTGGCAGCCACAGTGGCCTGGCATGCCCTGGCTCTGCCTAGCGAGCCAGAAGACAAGTACCAAGCTCGAGGAAACAGAGGTGCCAAGGACACCTTTTCTTTGTGATCAGGCTTTTCAGACTCATAACGGAAAGCTGGCCTAGCATCACAGAGATCCTGTCCATGCAACAATTTCCAGAAGTTACCTAAATACATTAAAAGCCTGAAATTCAGTTTAAACACTGTTTCCAGAGAGCCACCCAGTGGTGATGTTACAAATCTGTGTAGACATGGAAAAGCTTTTTAGGGCAAGTGGAATAAGCACGGATGTTTTCAATTCAGCTGAACTTCTTAAAGGCTTCCCAAACCATACACGTGTGAAGCAACTGAAAATCAGCCACCTCAGCTCAGGTAACTTTAACCAGGCCACTGCAATGCTGCTATTCTTACCTGCAACCAAATCGTTTTTGCTCTGTGCAACACCCTGTGGAGACGATTTGCTGGTCTGAGGAGTTGCTTTCTGTCCTGGAGTAGGTTTATGGGTGTTAGAGACCATCTGTTTGACTGAAGGAGCATTTGTCTTCTCAGCTTGCTTTTTGGGTTTATTTCTCTTCCTTTTTTTGAGCGGTCTGCCAGCATCCTCAGGCTGGCCTGGTTTGCACACTAGAAGGCAAAACCAAATTACACATGTCAGGACAACACTACATTCCCACTTCAGAACATGCAGTTATTACCGAAGACTAAAGTTCCAGCATTGCAATGGCGCCTCTCAATCTTAAAAAATTAAGTATTTTAGTATTTATTTAAACGGACTAAACACCCTTGCACGCTTCAGTAAAACCTCCCCGCAGTCACCACGTGTGCAACACGCTCAGAAGCCTCGTGTTTCAGCAGAGACTACTTTTCCTTCAAAAAAACCCCACGGCACAAAGCCCGTCGCCCGGGCGAAGCAGCAGGGCCGGGGGCCGCAGCGTTCCCGCTCCGTTACCCAATTTCCTCTTCCGCGGCTCCGGGCCGCGCTGCACGCAGACCTTCCTGGCCAAGCCCTGCAGGTAGGAGTC